TAATTATAAACAAAAATAAAGGAAAACAACAAATCCTGGGTTGTAACAATGCATTCCATGCCTGTGCTCCACATATCAAACTGTAGTGTGGAAGAACAACTTATGTTGCACGGTACTCTACCAGAGAGGGGCAGATGGAAGTAAAGAGGGATCCCATGGCAAATATGATACAGTCGACACTTCTCAACTGTTCCAAGGCAGTGGGATTTACAGTGGGGAAGACCTGTTCAAAGGGCAAAAGAACCAATGAATATCAGCAGTCAGTAGATCATCAACAGATAAACAAGCTTTCCATGAATCAATACTGTTACAAAAGCACAAAGCTCCAACATAAAATGTTGACAGATTTTTTTTTACGCTTTGTTATTACATTCAATGTTAGAAATAATAGTAATTACAACTATTTTGGGAAAAATCATTTTTTTTGTATTCATCATTTGACCTTTCCAAATGCTAGACAAGAGTGGGTTGCTCTAGTGGCAAGCACCCTCCACTTCCAACCAAGAGGTTGTGAGTTCGAGTCACCCCAACAGCAAGGTGGGGAGTTCTTGGAGGGAGGGAGCCGAGAGTCTATCGGAAACAGCCTCTTTACCCCAGGGTAGGGGTAAGGTCTGCGTACACACTACCCTCCCCAAACCCCCCTAGTGGGATTATACTGGGTTGTTGTTATTGTTGACCTTTTCAAATGCTACAAAATATTTCCTTGTATGGTGATATTAGGAATGTCAGTAAGTCTCCTTTCCAAGTTTCCAAGTTTTTATTTCAATTTCTCAATTTACAATTATTTCTAGTTCTCCGCCATAGACCTTTTATTTACCATTATAAACTACCATCTTTATCAAAAACTTAAAATTAATTTTAAAATTTACATTATTTCATTGTATTCATCATTTGACCTTTTAAAATAATAAAAGAATTCATTAATTCCTCGTAAGTGACATTAGGAATGCAGTAAGGCCTCATTTGTTTTTTTTAAGATTAAGACGTTTGAATTTGAATACACATCTGAATATCAAGATGTGCATTAAGATTAAGACATCTGACTCTGAATACACATCTGAATATTAAGATGCGTACTAAGATCTGAATACTAAATGATTAAGACTGTCTGTTTTTTAACATCTGAATGTATAAAAGTTATCTTTATTTGAAATTAATAAACATAAAGCCAAATAAAATACTAAATAATTCAATATTCTATCAATAAAATATATTTTTTTAAAATATGATAGTTAGTGGTGGTAATGGCTAATGGTGGTGTTTGTGAATGTCGACTAGAGGCGGTGGTTGGTGGTGGTTTTGGTTGATGATGGTAGTTCTGAATAGTAGCTAGTGGTAATTGGTAGTGATAGCGATTATGGTTGAGAATGGTGGTGGTAGGTGGTAATAATTAATAATGGCGGGTGGTGGTTGTGGTTGTGGTTGTGATTGAGGAAGGTGGTGGTAGTTTATAAGGGTGGGCAGTACTGGCTATGGTTGTTGATGGTGATGGGGTGGTTAGTTGTGGTAGTTAAAGTAGATGAGTTTGTGGTTGTGGTTGTGGTTGAGAATGATGGTGGTGGGGGTAATGGGGATTCTGGGGGTGGTTGTCAATAATGGTGGCGGCTATGATTGAAGAGGTGGCAGTGGTGGTGGTGGTGGTGGTGGTTGAGTACAGTGGTGGTGGTTGAGTACGGTGGTGGTGGATGGCATGGTAATGGTTGATAATGGTAGGTGGTGGTGGCAATTAATGATGAATATGGATGATAGCATCTTAATGAAATTAAGTCTTTATTATAGATCTTAATCATACAGACCTATTAAGACTCATTAAGTGGTTGTGAAGTAAAAACCCTCAGGGGTTGGCCTGGTGGCAATTGACTTGAGCCTTGGGGTTTGCTCCCTTTCAAGGTCTCAAGTTCGAAACCCACTGGGTGCAAACAATTTCTGAGAGCCATCGGACTGGGTAAAACCTGAATTAACCGTGGTGCACTTGCGGGAAACTCCTTGCCGAGGGCCTGTTCACTCCCGGGATTAGTCGGGGCTCAAAGAGACTCGGACACCCGGTGCAAATCAAAAAAAAAGTGGTTGTGAAGTAAAAAAAAACAAAGAAACATAATGATTAAGATTCAAACTTTAAAAACAAACACACTTAATGTCTGAGACCTGGATGATTAAGATTCAGACCTTCATTAAGGGCAAACAAATGAGGCCTAAATGTCATTTCCAAGTTTCAAGATTTTTATTCCAATTTTTTCAAATTTTTAGCACGATAAAGAAAAGCAACAAAAAAATTTTGGTTACATATAGCTTTCAACAAGGTGAATGAGGAATTGAACTTCCACAATCCAAAGAGCATATAGTATGATGTTCCTAACATCCAAAGTTAAGATTGGACAACCATTGGAGACAAATAATTGATATATTTTTCTCTTTCCTCGGGCAACAACAATTTGAAGAAGAGGGTTTAGCTTTAAGAACCTATCAGAAAGTATTTATCCTTTTTTTAAATTTCAAAAAAAAAAAAAAAAGATAAAGCATATTATGGTACAGAGTTCAAGTATCGTCTTTCTTTTCACTGACAAGAACAATAACCATATTTACCTCATGCAATAAGTTGCTTCCTTCACTGGACATGTAAAATATCCGCTTTATTCTAGAAGGAAGTTCTGGGGCTGAAGATGCCTCCTGTCCAACAAGGTTCAAAAAGTGAACTTGGGTTGAGTTGGACAAGACCAACCTACTGGACAAACTTTAGCATAAAATGAAATAACAAGTAGCCAAGGTTTTTTTGTATACCCAACACTTTCCATATTGTGTAGCACATATTAGACTATTCAACAGAGGTATAAAACTGAAATATCTAGCAAAGGTAAGGACCATGACCATGTTAGGTCTTCGGACTATATCTCAACATGAACCACTAGTCCCTAAGAGCTATATGCAGGGTACTCACTAATCGCTCCAGGCCAAAGTGCAAATCCACAAACTTAATCCTTTGAAATTACCCAGCAAAATCAATTTAACATCCAGAACTACTACACCAAGGCCCTTTTATACAGACCCCCAGGTGCCAATATCTATGAAACATATCCAAAATATTTATAACATAAGCATCTCATATTTCAATTTCTTTCTTTAGTAGAACAAGAAGGTATAATACAAGTTATTTTGCAGTCTCACAGACATGGAGTTCATCATTCAAGAGTATGTTAACCCCAGTAAACAAGTCTCCTTAAAAGGCTGTCATACTTTAAGCAGTAAAATTATCTACAACATACAAACAGATAATGAATAGTTCTAATCATTGCACCTATCAAATGAATCAAACATTAAGTCCCAGATAGGTTATCAAAATATATCAAGGGTTTCTGATTTGAGAATAAATTATGATAACAAGGTTTGACAAAAACATCCCGTTTCAGCAGGGACCATAGCAGCTCCTTTTAGGAAGATGGCATTTATCGTGGTTATAATTTATGTTAGGAATATTAAATTATAATGATAAAACTTGCAAGAAGTATCTGTTTTGAGAAAATTTTATGGGAAAAAAGAACAATAAAAAGAAACAAAGAACAGTACAAATCAGATTAAAAACTGTGTTTATACCTTGTCTATAGGTTGCATGGATCCATGGGTTGGATGAGATATTTCATTCTGTCCGCGTATAACAGTTCCATCCTACACATCAGTTACGTGCAACAAGTAAAATTTTAATTTGTAGTTGCAAGTAAACATCCATTAACTACATTATTTGTAACTCCCCCATCTGATCAAAGGAGATTCATACTAATGGCTTAACGAGCAGTGAGCATAGGAAATAGATTTTAAATTTGTCACTTTCTGTTCAAAGTCTTATTTGTTAGAAGGATCATCATCCTGAATTCCTAAAGAAATTCAACTTCATCACTTCTGAGATAAATTACAAGGTGCTATTCTTGGGTAGTATTTAGAACTGCTCTTTGACATCATTGTTTAAGATGACTTTTGAGTCAAATTATGGGTACTTCTCATGATTACTACCTTATGTGTGGATTATAAGCAGCCATGTAATTGATCAAGCAGATCCAAAAGAAGATGACATAGGTTCCTTAGTTCCCTAATATTAGCAAGCACAAACATGGACCAGTTAAATTTTGACTTTGTCTATATTCTTGAGCTGATTAGATCCGATTCTCATATTGTTGCCTATTCCTGCAGCAATTTGTTGAAGAATGAGTCAGCAATGGGTACTATTGACCAATATCTACATTGAAACCTTGGATTTACGGGATCAATGTGAAGCTTTGGTACTTGTAATAGCCTCCTACTAACCCACACACCCCACCCCTAAACTATTCATATCCATAATGGACTACAGCTGCTAGTTAACTTTACACCCTAGAATAGAGTTTTAAAAAAAAAGGAAATAGACACCCAAATGATTTTTCAGGCAAATATGACCAATTGGAAGTAGAAAACCGATATTATAAATTGCCTGAAAAAATATCAGCGGCATAACACAGTTGAAAAATAGACTTGAAAAAGAAAAAGACAAACAGAAATTCCTCTTTCTGGCTATATCATCTATTTTTTATCCTTTTTTTTTCGATAAGTCCCTAGTTTTATGGATTTATGATTTTCTTCTTGCAAAAACACTCATTTTCATCTCTTTAGCCACACCTATCAATATTATTATTTTTCCCTTCACCATATAACATCCATTTGGGAAAAATGGATAAAAGTTTAAAGAAGTGCATGATGCTATCCTCACAAACTGACCAAGATATTCCCAGCAAAGGAGAGACATTGATGCAAGTAATGGACTTAATAAAATTCAAAGGCACGCGTTCATATTCATTTGCATTAGATGCTAAGTGGAACTGGATTCCTTGTGCCTCTTTATAGATGTCTAGTCTATAATAAATAAGGACGGCCAACAATACAACCTGAAAAATGAATAAATAAAACAAAAGGCTCTGGTGATGAAGGTAGCAGACAGAATAATTAAGGAGTCAAGGCATAGGAAGGAGAGATTAGATACTAGTTTTAGAGAACATAGAGATCATACCAATAACTCACATCCCAGGGTAAGCCTTTCATTTGTAGATATCACGGGAAGGACCAAACTTTCTGCTGGAATTTCTGAAACCCGTGAAAACAAAAAGATTGCTGCATCTAAAGACTGGAAGAATAAACGTGCTCCAGCAAAGAAAAAGTTCCCTATACTGCAAATGTCATAAGGTCTTGTTACCAACTTCAGTCACTATTACAAGTATCGATGAAAATAAACCACCCAGAACAATGATTAAAGGAGAATATTAAGCTAAACAGACAACTAGCAATATACCTTCCATTGCTGAAACAGAATAACTCATCTGACCGCCGGAGAATCTGAAAATAGAAAGAGCCAACAGCTGGTTCTCAATAGCAAGTCCAACAACTTCTATAATCGATCATTTAAGAAGACAGAAGAAGAGCCAATTAACGGGTAAGAATAAAGTATTTATTATATCCAGTGGAAGTTCCATCATTATGTATGACAACAATCAGCAAATAGCTTCAGAAGTTTCAACCATATTATCTGATTTCAACACCATGGAATGTTGTCAACACCATGGAATGTTGGTACAACGATAGAATTTGATGGAACATTAATGATTTGATTGATACTGTACAAGTGCTCAAGAGGTGAATATTATACACTCAAGCTGCAAATTAACCCTCATTGCTGAGTGGTCAGTTGGTCCATTGGCCGTTCAACGCCACAAGCAGAGTTTGATTCAATTAGGGTCACCCCAGTGCCCTATCATGAAATCATTGATTGGAAGGGGGCAAAGTAAACTGAAGGTCTATATAACCTACTAACAACAAAGAAGTCCAGATTAGGAACAGTACTAGGTGTTATTTAGGCATAATGAAGCTATTGGGAACCTTTTCTTGATAATAGAATAATAAACAAGAACCGGAACTGCTATTGTATAACAGAGTTTCAGTATGGTAGTCTGGGCAATGGGTTAAATTTCAGTGCTTAAAACTCCACTAATGTCAGATATAGTCATCCATCCCATTACGGAGTTGAACTCCTTATTCTGCCCAAATTTGGCAACTTGTGCCCTTAGATGTAACTCCTTCCACTCTAAACTGATAAAAAATAGTATATCACATGTATACAGAAACGTATCTAATCCCGAAATAAGCATTGGATGCAAAGACTTCCCATCAACAAAGAAGAAGATGAACTAAATAGCATAATAATGTTGAGAGCAAAGTCGGCAACATCTACAGAAGACGATTATCCTCAACAAAATTCTGCAAGTTAATTTTCAAGCCAATGCAGCATCTCAAAAAGATAGTCCCTAGCTTTTTTAAAAGGGAAAGGATAGGATAGCATTGAAGCAGTTGGAAATATAGTAGTGCCTAATTGACCAACCTGATCCTGGAAGTAAGCCAAGAAAGCTCTTATAGTTTCCCTATATGGTTTTGAGACACCTCGCCATAGATCATGGCTGCCCTCCACAATGTCGTACCTGTCATGATCCATTAACAAGTACAAGTGGGTATACAGAATTCAGTAGAACCAGATAAAAGATGAAAAGGTTCTCCAAGGAGATCACTTTTCTTTTTTCCTGTTTATTTCCTTCTTTTTCTTTCCTTCTTTCTTTCGTTTTTTACTTTAAGATGCCATTATTCGAATATATCTTCAATTTTATGTGGGAGTGCTACTTTTCCAAGTAGACTAGGTAGTTTCTTAAGCTTGTACTTTTACCAATCAAATATGTGAGAATTAATTCTTAATATAATGAATCTTTTATTTCTTCTAGGTTACTTTTATGCAGTCTTGACAGGTTTATGGGTTTCTTCTACATCCTCCAAGTTTACAGTCATTGCTAGTGTTCAGGTAAACAGATACAGCCCAGATAAACAGATCTGCACAAAAATAATTCAACATTTTTATTCTTTCCTAAAGCTCTGTCAATTGCCACACCTTTGAAGAATCTTGTAGTTATAGTTCCACCTGGGTTTAGCCACGATATAAGAAAAATCAAGATAAGCCCAAGGAACCCATTACCATCGCATAGCAGTTAGTCTATATAACCATCTAAATCTGTGTTGATAACATTTTACCCACTTAGCATGGATAAAAAGGGCCAGAAATTCCACAATGAAAATGACAGCAGCATTTTTGCTTCAAATATTTCTTGGAGAAGAATCCAAGAGTAACTACCATTCTGATTTGGCTCTCTGTGGATCAAGAGGTAAACGATGACCAAGCAATATTCGGACTGCACGAGCCTCCGAGGTACTTTGGTCTGACAATCTCAAACATCTTGATCGTATATCTCCAACAGCAGGACCACCTAAATATTGACTGTCAACTTTTTTATCATTCATTCGTTTTGCCAGAAAAATATGTGTAAAGAATGACGTAAAAAACTTAACAGGGGAACAAACTCATTAACATAAACTGTAGTCTTTCTGAAGAAACTTTACTTTCTCTTTGTTTCTTAGAAAGGCCTAAAACATTACTAGATATAGTCGGAAAGAGTGTTAAGCGCTTCTTCTGTAGAAGATTACGTCACCATACCTCTTGAAATGTAAATTATCATAGCCCGAAATATTTTTAACATGGGAATGTCATGTCTTAAAAATACAGCTAACACTAATTTTCAGACGCACAAGTTTAGTGAACAGATAAAGAGGCCTAAAAGGTTAAGGATAAAGAATAGAAAGGATTGGAACTTTTAACCACACCAAGAACACGAACAATTTCAGCAGTACTGCCTCCATCATCAGAAACAGGGAGCACATGAGCTACACGAGTAGTTAGTTTCTTAAGCTCTTCAACCACACCATTAAAAGCAGTTCCACCTGTAGCAGTACCAAGTTCTCAGAATGCAAAATCATCAAGAATCTTGATATATAATACAACAACAACAACAACTAAGCCTCATTCTCAAGCAAGTTGGGGTTGTCTATATCAATCCTCATTATCCATGTCGCTTCATTTAAGCTCATCTCAGTACCAATATTAGACAAAATAAAATAAAAATAAAAAGTACTAGAAGTTCTCTATGTTTTCTACTGGCATATAAATATATGATAGGACTAAAAGACTCCTAGACTACATAGGACCTATAGAAAACGTCTTAACATGACTAAAACAAATTTCAAATTAATTCGTATCGCCTACATAAATATATTTTTTTTTCATTTTGCCCTACTTTTCATTAGGCCTGCACGGACTCCAAGAGCTCGTAAGTCTTTTGAGAAAATTTCTTACATGTGTTTTAGGTCTACTTTGTTGTAAGCACTTCCACTCACCATGGTTTTACAACTACAGGTCAAGCATCTGGAGGTCAACGTAGTACATGACCAAACCATATCTCAAGCGACCTCTCATTTTATTCTTAATATATCCTCATGCACCTTATGTTGAATGTGGTCATTCTTTATCTTGTCTAATATTATAAGATCACATATCCATCTTACCATCTGCATATATATGACACTTATCTTGTGAAAATGCTGAACTTTAGTGATCCAATATATACTCTCACATAATGTTAATGATCTTATAGCTGTTTTATGGAACTCACATTTCACTTTGGTACGTATCGTGTTATCACACAACGCTCCAGTAGCACTTCATTTGAACCATCCTATTTTGATCTATGTGTAAAATTTTCATCTATTATACCATTACTACATTGAGCTTAGACAGCTTAATTGTTTGCATTTAGGCACCGCAATCCAGTATAATCTCACCTCGACTTCACTCTTCTTATGCTGACGAAACTTCTAATGCATATATACTTCTAATTATCCTAAAACCCTTACTCTCTACAGTGTTTCTCCACAATTCAAACTTTTCATTGACAACCTCATTGATTTCGTCAATTAGCATAATATTATTAGCAATAACATATACCATGGGATGTGATCTTGTAAGTGTTAGTTAGCTCATCCATAAGGGTGAGCAAGTACGGGGTCAATGTCGATTCTAGTTTAAACCCACAGCTATGGGAGATTCCTTTGTGTCTCTTACAATTATTATCTCACTAGTGACAGATCCTTCATACATAACCTTTATGGCATTTATATATTTAATATAAATTTGTCCCTTCTCCAACACCCACCAAAGTACCCTTTATGATACTCTATTGTATGCTGTCAGTACAATATATAATTATTTTCAAAATTTAAAATAAACTGTAAACGATATAATGCAGAAAATAAATGCTAAACTGAGAATGATCCAATTATTGTAGTTGGAATTGCAGATTAACCAGATAAAATTCAATTCTAAACATTGCCTACAGGGGCGGATTTACCAAGGGTGAAGCGGTGTCACGTGACACCGCTTCGTCGAAAATATTTAACAAATTATATGTATAAAAATGATATGTGAACATTAAAAACGTTATAAATGACAATGGATGACACCACTTGCAGAACACATTCCTCTGGTGCAGCGGAAAGGACTCATTTTGAACCTAACGATAAAACAACGATGCTCTAAGGTCTCAAGGACCCAATAACACTAGTATTCAAAAATCCCCCGTCTCATCTCAGTAACAAGAAACAAGTAAACTTTTTGGTTTCTGGGTACTTTCAAGATTCAACATGTACATACCATTAATAAATTGAGCAAGTAAATCTACAATCTTTCCAACAAAAATGGAGAAGAAGAAAAAAAAAAAAAGGAAAGTTGGGGGATATTATAATAAACGTACCAGAGAAAACAAGAAGTGAAGGTTGATGATGGGACCCAATGGAGGAAAAACTAGTGGGGCTAGAGGAGGAGCAAAGACAGTGACGAGCAGCCATAAGGGAGAAAGATAGAGATGTTGAAAATGGGGAAAATGTGAAAGGGAAGTTATATAAAGAAGGGGACTTGGGCTTGAGGTTGAAGGGTCCCAAATAACTGTCCGCCATACTCGTCGGAATTGTCACAATACCATAAACTAACCCAAGTTTCCTTAGCTTTTGCTAATGCAATCTCCAATTCGCACAGATGCACATCACCGGATGAAACATGCCCTAAATGGACGGACTCTCCTTAAATGAGACGTCTCATTCTCCTCACTGCCGTCTCATCTCATTTTTCTCTCTTTCTTTTCTTCTTTCGTTTTTCTTTTTTCCCTATTTTGCCATGTATTTTCTTATGTCGTACAAAAGTTAAGTTCTTTTATTTTACTGTCAAAACTTTTTGTAATAGTGTCAGAGCCCGTTTGGATGAGCTTATTTTAAGTGTTTTTAAGTTATTTTGTAGTGTTTTAAATATTTATTTTTAAGCTAAAATGACAAAAATAAGTCAAAAGCCAAAAACTAGAATTTTTAATTTATGACTTTTGACTTAAAAGTTACTTAAAACAAGCTCATCCAAACGGGCTCTTATTCCAATATTTTTTTCTCTTATACTAAAGTAATGTTATAGTGAACATATATAACATAACAGAAAAAGTAATTCCAAAAAAAAAAATTGATTGTTATAATGAAATGATGTAATAGAGGATCGTTATTATATAGATGTCTAATAACAATTTATATATGTTTCATATCTGCTTTGGTTTTCAAATAATAAGTAGCTAGATTCAGTGACGTACAAAGAATTTTTTATAAGCGGTATCAATATATAGAAGAGTGAACAAATGAATAAATTATTATAATATATATTATATTATAAAAAATAACTCAAATCGATTTAACAAAATACAATTCAAGGTTTTGAATTACTAGCAGCTCGTAAAGTTTTAAATTATGTGAAGGAGTAAAAAAGTATTACGGAGAGGCAAAAGGAATTCTAACTCCCGACCTCTCTAATTCAACCTAAAACTAATAACCATCCGACTGGTGAGCCGTTGTGTTGCAAGTGGTGTCACTTTTATAATTTTATCGATGTATTTTTGTTTTACTTATTATTTATATATATGTGTGAAGTAAAATTTTCGACGAAGCAGTCTCATGTGATATCTCTTGAGTCCACGTAAATTCGATCCTGGCTAGATCATTTATTCACATCGAAGAACCCTCAACCTGAAGAATAATTGGCTAAATTATTTACTTCACGAAAACCCTTTTTAACTCTCAACCCAAAAAATGATTGGTTATATCATCTATATTATATTAAAAGGAGGGTAGTGAAACATGAGATTATGCCAAATGGCATATTGAGAAAATGCCACTTGGCACTTTCAACAAAATCAAAATAGACTTTAAACAAAATTTTATTAGAAATAAGATAAATTATATTTTGTTAAGAAATGAGTAACTTAGGAAGGGTAACTTAGTACTTTTATAGCTTATATTAACCGAAATTAGAAAGTAGTTAAGGCTTCTATTAGTTAGTTAATTAGCTAAAATACCAATACGATTTTGGGGACACTGTGTGAATGTTGTTATTTATCTCATAAACAGGATGCCAAGTACTATTATCAGCAACAAAACTCCCTATGAGCGACTATATTAGAAACCACCATCCTATAATCATCTAAAGGTACTAGGATGCTAATTTTATGCCAAGATAGTTCAGCAACATGACAAAATGATGTCAAGAACCAAAACTGCAGTCCATATGGGATATGCAGAAACTCAGAAAGGTTACTTATTATATGACTTGAAGGACAGGATTTTTTTGGTTAATATGGATATAGTATTCAAAGAGGATGTTTTTCCCTTTAAGAAAATGCCTATATTCACAACATCAATAACCTCATATTTGCAAGCCCTTCACTACTCAGTGCCTCAGAGTATACAGACATGTGATCAATCAACAAATAGATCGATTCAACCTCCAAGTAATACTATGGAACCAGAACTTAACTATACATCAAAGGATACATATGATCAACCTTAGGTCTATGAAGAAACTACTCATCAATATATAGGAAATCCAGCTCAAGAGTTCCAGGATCTAGGTTCAGAGATGCCACTATAATGATCCGATCGGTCTTTTTGAGTATTTACACTTCGCTCGGTAGTTTGAGGGCATGAGTAGCTCTGTATTATTATTATGACTTGTGTACATCGCTGGTTTCGATTTTTAGGTGATTCGGAATTAGTTTAGAAGAATGAATTTCATGTTTGAAGCTTTAAGTTAGAAGAGTAAACCAAGTTTGACTTTTAAATATTTGACTTCGGATCAGAGTTTTGATAGTTTCGTTAGGTCCGGATGGTGATTTTGAACCTGGGTATATGCCCGAATTTTTATTTGGATATTTCTAGAAGATTTCGACACTATTTGGCGAAAGTTAAAAATTTGAAGATTTGGAATGTTCATAAGTTTGACCGGGAGTTTCCTTTGATGATATCGGGTTCGGATTATGGTTTCGGTAATTGGGATAGTTCGTTATATCATGCGAAACTTGTGTGCAAAATTTGAGGTCATTCTGAGTTGATTTGATATGGTTCGGCACGAATTTTGGAAGTTGAAAGTTCAAAAGTTCATTAAGTTCGATTTAAGGTGCGATTAGTGGTTTTGATATTTTATGCGTGATTTAAGGCCTCGAGTAAGTCTATGCTATTATATGGGACTTGCTGGTATGTTCGGACGGGTCCCGAGGAGTTCGGGTGAGTTTCATATAGGTTTGGGTTGTGTTGCGCTCATTTTTTATGTTTCGGCGTCGTTTCTTCAAGCATAAATGGTGCCAAATTAAGAAAATGATCTTCAATTTCTATTTTTATTGAATCATTAGATCCGTATCGTAATTATGTAGTCATAGAAAAAAGAATCATCGAATTCGGACATCGTATGAGGGAGTTATGCTCATTTTAGTGTCAGAGAAGAGAGCTGGTGTTAGTGCTTCGCAAATGTGAAGTTGGGTCCGCATCTGCGACCCCGCAGGCCTTAGGTGCGAAAAATAGTCCGCAAAAGCGAAAATGACAGTTTGAAATGCGCAGGTAAGGAGTTTTTGTCGTAAAAGCGAAAATCCTTGTGTATAAGAAATCAGACTGCGTTCATTTGCTATTTTGAGCATATCTTGAGTTCTAGAGTTCCGATTGAGGTAATTTTCACTGCGTTCTTCTCTTATTTTCATGGGAGTCAGTATCTAACTATAATTCTTTTTTATTTTAATATGATCACAGAAGTTCATTTTTGAATTAATCCATATTTTGAATTGAGAATTGGATTTTTTTTTAAAACTTTTCTAAAGTGATTAATTGAATTTTGAACATCGATTCGGAGTCGGAATTGGATGAAATAAGTACGGTTGAACTCGTAATTGAATAGGTTATAATATTTTGTGATTTTTGTCGGATTTTGAGGTGCAGGCCAGGGTTTGACCTTTTAATTGACTTTGGGCTTTGATTTAAAGATTCAACTTTTATCGATTGGGTTTGTTCCTTTGGCATTATTTGATGTTCTTGAGTTGCTTTTGGCTAGTTTCGAGCCATTCAGAGGTTAGCACATGCGAGATGGCATTTCTAGAGTATTTTTTGGCTTGTTCGGTATTGGATTTGACTTGTTTGAGGTAAGTATCTTATCTAAACTTGGCTGAGGTACTAGTTTCCTAGATTATTTGTGATAGCTACGTGTTATGGGTGCGCATATGTGTGGGGTTTGAGCCCATGTGCTAGCACCGAGGTATTTATTCATGCTCGGGATAGTGCTTAGGCTATGATATATCTAGAGTTGACTGTTAAGCTCAAAGCTATAATGTTTCTTATATTTGTACCATTATTGTGAACTATTTGAGCCATACTTGATGTTACGAAGAGGCAAATTCCCTGAATAAACTTGGTAATTACTATTTCTATGATAAATTGCCGATTTGAGCTATGATAACACACAGTGCACATGCCTACACTTTAGCATGTTATTATACTAGTCCAAGAGTATGAAATTTGATATTTATCCATCATTTACATGTATTCTTGTATACTTGCTTCTGTGTGATATGATTCGGACTGGTGCCTGTGACCACGCCAGACAGATTGTGTTGTTATGCATGTGACCATGACAGGCGAATTACGATATTATACATGTGACCACGCCGGGCGGATTGTGTTGTTATGCTTGTGACCATGTCGGCGGATTATGATATTGTGCATGTGACCACGTCGGGCGGATTGGTATTATTAGCACGTGAGTTGTCCGTGCAGATCCAAATATTGAAATTATTAGCACGTGAGTTATCCATGCAGCACATGAGTTATTTGTGCGGTTGATATTATTAGCACGTGAGTTGTCCGTGCAGCACATGAGTGTGCATAGTGTGGTATGAGTACACCCGACCCCATGTACTTGGTAAGTGCCGAGCCTAACCTCGACGAAGTAGTGACGAGGCTAAGGCATGTTACTTAGAATAACATGTATGTAGTATAATACTAATACTAATACTAATACTACTACTACTACTACTACTACTACTACTAATAATAATAATAATAATAATAATAATAATAATAATAATAATAATAATAATAATAATAATAATAATAACAATAATGTGGATACGGATCCATCCCCCTAGGGTCACCCTTTCATGTTTTTCTCTTAACGGTGTACACGTATATTGTGAGAAACCGACAGGTTTTTGATTGATATGAGTTGTGGGAGAGCTGGTTACTATATTTGGATCGGGTTGCACGCCGTAATTAACTGATATTTGGTTGTGGTATTTCATCTTTATTTGAAATTTCCTTGATTGTTTACGTGATTTACTTGCATCTTACTTATATGTTGGATTGTTGACTGAGCAGAATACTTTTAAACAAAGAATTGTAAGTATCAAAGTGGTTTTACTTGAGATTTCCTGATTTGATCATATATCTGTTTTATACTTGTTGAAATTATGAATTGCACGGGTGTTAGTGAGTATCATCTATAGTTCTTGCTTCTTTTATCTCGCCGAGGTTAGTTAGGATAATTATTGAGCACATGGGGTCGGTTGTACTCATACTACGCTTCTCCATCTTGCGTGCAGATCTTGGAGTTAATGTTGCTGTGTACGGCGGGAGCTAGCATTGAAGATGTACATGCGTTCCAGTTATGGCTATCACTTTTCCTTGGTAGCTTTAGATTCGGATTCTGTTCATTTTCATTTCAAACAGATGTTGTAATTATTTCAATTTAATTTTATAAAAATCTAAGTCTTAGTGACTCATGACTTGTACT